GCACCGCTGGCCGCCGCGGCTGGAAAGGGCCCCTTTTCGGGACTTATTTGGAGAAAGCGCCGGGAGGCGCCGCCTCCTCCTCCTCCAGCTGCTGTTCCTCGGGCGCTTCCCGCCCGCCGGGAGCCCGGCCCCGGGGCTCCTGCCTGGCCCTGGCCCTGGCCCGGGCGCCCCCCAGAGCTGCGCACGTACGTCGGAGGCTTTCTTCTCCGTCAGCTCCAGCTTCTCCTGCGCGTCCTTCAGGTCCTCGGAGTACTTGTCCAGCTCGTCCTCTGTCCCTTTCAGCTTCTTCTGGAGGTGTGTCAGTTCCTCCTCCACCTGGGGACACATGAGGGGGGACGCGTCAAGCCTGGGGGGCCACGTCCCCGCAGTGCAGGGGTGTCCCCCATCTTGGTTGTCGCTCTGGGCCTCAGTTTCCAAATCTGCAAAATAGGAATAGCGATAATGTCCCCCAACGCAATGCTCCCTGCTAATAGGATATTTTTTTCTTAAGAATTATTTTATTGGGACCAGCGGGTGGCGTGGTGGTCAAGGTGCTGGACACTCCCACTTGGCCAACCAGGGTTCGAGTCCTGGACCTGGTGGCTTGCTTTCTCACTTGCTCTCTCTCTCACTCTCACCCTCTGTCTCTCTCTGGTCGAATTTAAAAAATCAATGAATGAATAAATAAATAATAAAATAAATAGGGTTTTTTTTTGGGGGGAGAGGTTTTCGCTATAGGGCACGTACGCTCGCCAGACAGACAGAGAGAGACAGAGAGACAGAAAGCGAGAAATCACCCCCCCATGGGGGATGGTCACGCCACAATCCCTTCTCCATTCTCCTCTCGGGATCTTGGGCACACACACACACACACACACACACGTGCCCGGCGTGAGTTTAAGCCACCAGGTCCGGGACTCGAACCGCAGTCGACTATGTGGGAGTCCAGCGACATAGCCATTACACTAACTGCTGGTTCCCAGTTATTTTTTTTTTAATTTTATTTAACTTTATGTACTGATTTATTTAAATTTGACCCGAGAGGGACACAGAGAGAGAGAGAGAGAGAGAGAGAGAGAGTGAGAAAGCAAGCTGCCAGGTCCAGGACTCGAACTACGTTTGGCCATGTGAGACTCCAGCATCCTTAACCATCACGCCACTTGCCAGCCCCACTAATAAGGATTTGCCAGCCTTCCCTTGTCCTGGGGACCAACTGTTTTTATCTTTTTTTTTTTTTTTGGAGAGGTTTTTGCTATAGGGCGTATGCACTCGCCAGACAGACAGAGAGAGACAGAGAGACAGAAGGTGAGAAATTACCCCCCAGGGGGGATGGCCAGGCCACAATCCCCTCTCCATCCTCCTCTCGGGATCTTGGACACGCATGCGCATGCGCCCGGCATGAGTTTAAGCCGCTGGGTCCAGGACTTGAACCGCGGTCGACTACATGGAAGTCCAGTGACATAGCCATTATGCCAACTGCTGGTTCCCTGTTCTTATCCTTATTGGGATCCTGAATGTTCCCAAGGATTCAATGACTTCAATTTTGGGACATTGAAGCCCTCACGCATTTTGCAGAAACGCAGTCAGTCTTGCAGTTTTGCATTCCGGTTTCAGGAGATCACACTGGGTTAAGTGGGAAAAGGAGTCTCTAGGGTCCAAGGTGGTGTGATGGTTAGGGGCACTGGACTCCCACATGGCCCACTGCTGTTCCAGTCTTGGATGGCGGCTTCCTTCCTCACCACCCACCCTGGCTCTCACACTCTGTCCCTTGCTTTTTATTAAAAATAAGTAGGACCAGCAGTTGGTCAAATGGCTATGTCGCTGGACTCCCATGTAGTCAACCGAGGTGAGAGTACG